TCACCAAATTAGATTCTCTATAAATTCTATACACACACAAAAGTAAATGATGAAAAACTCAACCCCCTTAAACACCCTATGTTTCTAAATCTATCAGCCTATTGCAATTAGGGGTATTGAAAATGCATTAGTATCAACACATAGCATAAATGAGAATCTCTTATAACCTATACATGAGCTATTTAATAAATGGGTCATGATCCGGCACCTATAAATAACCCGCCTAAAAAATGAGTCAAAATCTATTTAGACTTAGTTGTCCTACTCATAGTAGAAAGATCAAATGGATTAGTCAACCCGAATTAACCGTTTAACCATGTATAAATATATATATTTTATATGATACTTCGAAATATATTATATATCAGTACATATTTTACTTTATTGCATATACTGTGTGTGTATAGCTGATGCAGAATGGTTTAGATTTAGATTAATTAAATTGATCAAAAACTATAGTTTTTTTAAATATAAAACTAATATACTACTGAGGAAGTATTACAATAATTTTTGTAACTTCAGAATTTTATTCTTTTAAAGTATTTAGTTTTCATAAGTAATCTTTTATGAGTTAAGATTTTCATAATTTTACCACTAAAAGATTTTGTTCTTCTAAAGTTTTTCCTAATAGAATCTTTAAAGTCTTTCCTAATTTAATCCGAGGAAAAAATTATTTAGAAAGCTTTTTTTAGAGAAAGGAGAAAAAAAATATTAACAGGGCACCAATGGGAAGCTACCCCTGTATAGAAGCAAAAGATTAAGAAGCAAAAAACAAAAAAAAAAAAAAGCCAGTAAAGTTTCCAAGATCTTCTCTAGAGGACGGGATGATCCCTAGACAAATAACTTAAGGACTGGAATCAATGGTCTCCAATATTAACAAAAGATGAGACTTAGCCTACAAAAAATTCTATCATTTCTTCATTTCTAAATGACCCACAAAGTGACCAATGGAATGGGCAAAATGTGAAGAATGAAAATGCTATATATTTCACTGTCTTTGATAATGATATAAACATTGTATTTATAATACCAAAAGTTATCATAGTTAAAAAAAAAAATCTTCCTAATTTGTAGGAGGATTTCCAAAATAAATGGCAAATTAAATCAAAGAGATTTGCTATGAATCTTCCTAATTAGTGAGGATTTTCCAGAATAAATAGCAGACCAAATCAAAGAGACTTGGTCAACCTTAGTGTTATATCTTCTAAATTAGAAAGTACATGTTTCTAATATAGTAACTACAATCACTCGATTTTCAATGCTCCTTCTCAATCTGGGTTGTGAAAATTCAAGTAAGCCTATCTTGAACCTCATATCTTCAAATTTTGCCTTTGGTAATGCCTTAGTCAGAATATTTGCTCTTTGTTGATTAGTAAGAATGAAGGAGATGTTAATTATACCCCTTTCTATCTCTCTTTGATGAAGTGTCTATCTATTTCCACATGTTTCGTCAAAAATTACCGGCTATACTTATATCAGCTTGGTTATCACATATCATATTGATGATATTACTTGAACATTAAGTTTGCTGAGTAAGTGTTTTAACCACATTCCTTAGATATCCAATGGGCCATAGCTCTGAGCTCTACTTTTGCACTACTCTAAGCAGCCATTTTTTGTTTTTTACTTCACCAAGTAACCAAATTTCTAACACACAAGCACAGTACACTAAAGTGGATCTTCAATCTGTACTGGATCCTGTCCAATATACATTAGTAAACACTTCAATATTCTTGTTTTTAGTCTTACTGAAGTGAAGAGATCAAGGAGCTTTCTTCAAATACCTTAGAATATGATACAATTGATTTATGTGTTCTTTAGTAGGATTATTCATGAATTGACTAGCCAGACTAACAGCAAAGCAAATATCTAGTCGTGTCCATGAGTGGTAGATGAGTTTTCTGACTAACCTTTGGCATCTTCCTTTGTCACATTAAACATTGTTTTCCTCTCCCATTTTTTTTGGTGATTGCTTCCGTTAGAGTATCTGCAGGTTTACTACCCAGTATCTTGTTTCTTTGAATAAATCAATGACATACTTTCTTTGTGAAATCACAATTCCTGATTAAGACTTTATAATTTCCACCCAATAAAGTATTTTAGGTCTCCTAGATCTTTGATTTCAAAACTTTCTTAAGTTCTATAATCCCCTCTTCATTATTTTCTGTCAATATAATAACATCTATATAGAAAATTATGATAGATATCCTTCCACTTGGAAAATATTTAACAAATAGGGTATAATCTGACTAATATTGGACATATCCAAATATTTTTACAACTTTAGAGAATCTCTCAAACCAGACTCTGGGCGATTCTTAAGGCCATAGAAAGATTTTTTTTTAGTTTAGAAACCTTCTTTGAGTTACTTCAAGGATCTCCATGTACACTTTTGTTTTAAGTCTCCATTGAGAAAGACATTCTTGATGTCTAAATGATGAAGTTTCTAATAAGAATTCACTGTGACTAACAAGAGAACTCGAATGGTGTTGACTTTTGCAACAAGTGCAAAGGTCTCCTGATAGTCAATACCATAAATTGAGTAAAGCCTTTAGCAACTAAATGAGTATTAAATCTATCTATGTTACCATCTGCATTGTATTTAACAGTGAAGATCTATTTGTATCCCGTAGGTTTCTTTTTCAGAGGTTGATCAACAAGTTCCCATGTACCGTCTTTCTCAAGGGTCTTGACTCCTTAATAACAGCTTGCCATTCATGATCTTGGATGGCTTTTTGAATGCCATTGAGAATCTGAATTTCCGTGAGTTTAGCAGTAAATGCACAATATTCAGGTGACAATTTCTTAGATGACATGAAGTTGGAAATAGAATGATGAGTACATGGCCTAAGTCCTTTTGAGCATTGGTAAATCAAGATCTTGAAGATGTCAACTTACTAGAAGTCTTAACTACTTATGTCTCTTCCCAGATTGGCTCTAGTCCAGCTTCATAGCTAGCTCTTTTTGTATTTGTTCCTCTACAGGTGCCTGGCTTTTTTGTCTTCTTGAGCATCCTAAAAGTTATTTCTCATTGTTGGGAGGAATACTTTAAGAGGGGTCTTCTAGACTAAAAGTGATGTCTGTGAAACAATAAATGGATAAGGAGGATTTAACTCAACAGGTTTGGGATCTTGTGTTTGGGTGTTATTCCCAAATTCCCAAAAAGGATGTTTTTCTGTATTTCCACACTCCCTCTAAACATCATTTTTAGAATAGAATGGTTTGTTTTCAAAAAATGCAACATCCATAGAGTGAGAGAATTTCTTAATGACCAGAGAGTAATATTTATATTCTTTTTTTATTTGGTGCATATATCCAAGGAAAATATACTTTATGGCTTTGGAATCAAATTTGCTTCTAAATTGTTGAGGAACATGAACAACTGATGAGCACCCGAAAACCTTTAGAGGAATTGACAAGATGAGCCATATTGATGGATAGGTATTTTTGAAGACTTGACACCGTATTTGGAATTGTAGAACACGTGAAGACATTCAGTTGACTAAGTAGGTTGCTATGAGTATGGCATCTCCCCAAAATATTTTGGGAACATAAGATTAGATCATATAGCTCGTGCAATTTCTAATAAATGTCTATTTTTTCTTTCAGCTATCTCATTTTGTTGAGGGGCGTAAATGCGTGAACTTTTGTGACTAATTCCCTTTTGACCAGATACTCCTCAAGAATAGAATTGAAATAATCTTTAGCACATATGTGTCCAGGATTTGGACTTTTGTGTTGAGTTGAGATTGCACCATTTTATTAGAAGACTTGAACAATTTTAGTGCCTTCAAGAGTTTTTTCTTTTTTAAGTATTTAGTTTTCCTATTCTTATCATTTTTTTAAAATAAAAAGTGTAAAGTATTATTCACAAGGTACCAAAAAAAGGGTATTACCTATGTACAAAAACATCTACGATGAAGTTAATGTATCAATGACATTCCAAAATTCTCATAATTAATAATGTCATAACCTAGCATAATTGTCCCAAACAAGTATATCCACCTATCAATTAATCTATTACAACTACTTTCTATACTATCAAAAACTCTTCTATTCCGCTCTTTCCAAATGACCCAAAAAGCAGTCAAAGGGATGATATTGGCAATGTTTCTTTTTACATATAAATCATCCCAAGCCCAAATCTCCCCCCCAACCGAACCCGAAATTATCCAATCAGTACCTAACAAATCATAAATCCTGCATCATAGGTTATACACAATAGGGCACCATAAAAGTAAATGATTACAAGTTTCTTCTGCCTTAAGACAGCAGTAACAACCATTTACAATAATCCTGCCTTTACTTTTCAGCCTGTCAAAGTGAGGACTTTTTCCCAACATGCCTCCCAAGTGAAAAAAGCAATGCGAGGAGGAATTTTTGTCTTGCAAATCAGCTTAGCCGGAAAGATTCTTCTGTTTCCAGCACCCATATCAGTTTTCCTATTCTTATCATTATAAGAATTAGTAATTTAATCCTACTTACAAAAGCTTACTGTTTGAAAGATATTTATAGAAGTTTAATTGTCCAATCATCCAATAAAAAGTTCTTTAATATTTATAAAAGTTCACCCATGAATGCATTAGATGGGTAGTTGGCAAGCGGGAGAGAGTTAGATTGTAGCAGGACTCGAGGATGGAAGGTGGACCGCTAAGATATTAGTATCCTCAATTCTTTGCCATTGCACAACAGAAAGACATCTTGATTAGCGAAGGTGACCTTGGAAGGGGGTGAGAGGG